GTGTGTGTGTGTGTGTGTGTGTGTGTGTGTGTGTGTGTGTGTGTTTGCTTGCATTTCATGAAATAATATGCAGTTTAATTATATTCAGTACAAAACAAGCGTACGTAAAGATTTTTAATTTGTAAAAATATATATATTTCATTGGTCATTTTTATGATCAGACATTTTTTAAATCCCTGCAGGTAAAGCAAAACAAGTTGTCTACTCCATTTGCAATTTTCCAGTTTTCCTGTTTTCTGTTGCCACATTTAAAATAGAACATTTTGGGATGCTGATTTGTCAAAATGCCATAAGTACTGCAAACTGAGAGCTGTGCGAGAAGAAACCGTGATGCTGCTGATGAACAAGAAAGTGGGGCATGGACACATACAAAAGTTGTGATTGTTTCTCACCAGCCCTTTTGCCAAATGTACCATTGGGGCACAAGTGTGACTGAATTTGGGAAGCAGCATCTTTTCACTCAACAGCACATCCCCGCTTGATGTGAAAATAGTTAGAAGTGGTACATTGTTGTTGAAAACTGTTTTTGAAGCTAATGTCATGAAGGTGTATGTTACAGTTGTAAATGCACGGTCAAGCTGAGATCTGATAAAAAGTTTTGTTAGAAATGGCCAGTGTCAAAACTCCAAACTGAACATGGAATTGGGTCATTGTTACAAAATTATAATTATTTGAAAATAAACYGTGCAGAGACAAGCTTTTATTTTACTAATGCTTTTGATCTTTTGCAAGTTTTAGTTTGTCTAATGCAAGGTTCACACATCAAGATCTACAGATTTTTGGCCCAATTTTTCTCCTCAGACAATCTTAAGGGCACCACGAGTACTGTGATGGCTCTAAAGATAATCTTATAAGATATTCCCACAGTGTGTGGTGTATTAAGCAGGATCTAGCCAGTTTGGAGGGATGTCCGGACCGCTCTGTCATCAAATTGGGGATAATCAACATGTTGGATTGTCTTGATCCGATATCCCAGAATGTGTGGTGTTCCCCCAAGGACAAACAAGCTTGCATCCTGTTGAATGAGACGTGTAGCCAATCAGAAAGCCAGGTGACGGAAACACCACTGGAAAATCCGGTGGATGTCTGAGTCGTCTTTATGTTTAGGTTTTTTCTCTGTTAAATAATCAACAAACTATCACCATTGCTTCTTCCTCATTGACCATGTTTATTTAATCTGAACTCACATTTAATCTCAAGAGATTTTGCTAGATTTCCCATCTGAAATCTGAATGTTCGTGAGTGAAATCTGTTCTTGTGTGGTGTGGCTGTACACCACACACTCTATGACCAAACCTGTGAAGGCTGTGTCACACTGCAAGATTTTAAAACAGTCGGCCGATTTTCAAAGACTGAGAGAGCCCACACGTGAGGTTAAAAAATCCTGGATCTACCAGGTTTGGCCCTACAGTGTGTGGTGAACAGCTACACGACAAGAGACAACACACCACACACGAAAAGATACTTCATTTATGACCATTCAGATTTCAGATATTAAATCACGCGAGACTTCCTGAAATCTCGCAAGAATTCAGATGTCCGAGGAAAAATCTCGCGTGTCCTCCAGAGAGACGTGAGTTCAGAGTAAATAAACATTTGTCACGAGGAAGAAACAATGTTGATCGTTTGTGGACTATTTTTACCAGAGGAAAAGCAATTCCATAGGACTTTTAATATCCAACGGACTTTCTGGTGAGTCATGACAGTTTTTTGTTTACGTCAGCTCGCTTTTTGATTGGTTACACATCTCATTCAACAGGCTGCGAGCTCGGGAGAACGTCACACACACTGTGACATCGGGCCTGACGTCCTTCCGAGTTGACTAGATCACTCTGCGGCGGGAATATCTGCTATGATTATCTTTAGAGCCATCACGATAATCTGGACTTCCTTAAGATTGTAGGAAGGGCAAAAATCGGCACAGTTATCCTGCCGTGTGACGCAGGCCTTAGATCTATGTTTTTTTTTTATTGTCATGTTTGGGGTCTCTCTGTCTTTGAAAATCAGTCAACTATTTTAAAATCTTGTGTGAACCATCCTTTATCTCTTGGTGACATACCATCTCTCATTTTAGCCCATGCCTGAATTCTTTGTTTACAGCAACTAACCTAAAATCATGTGTGAACTGATCTCCAAGCAAACAGCCTCTTGATGATTCAGTGATGATGTGACACAATACAATTTTCTCTCTTTTTCTCCCCCCTCTCCTCTCCAGTCTGTGTGATCATAACATCTCGAATGCGTCAGCTGTCTGAGCTTGTACAGAATGAGAGCATCCTGTTAGGATCTCAGCAACTCTGGCAGTCAGTACAAAGAGAGTCGCAGCAAAACATCTCCCTCATGTGAGCCTCTGCCAAATAAGCACGAGCTGATCTCATAAAACCAAGCAGTTCTACTAATTTGAGTGGCTGTACTGGAACCAAGTTCAAAGCGAAGTYGTGATTTGTGGCCTGCTTTCTCAGGGGAGGCGGTGAGCTCTGTTGGCAGTAAGACGAGTGGCTGATTGTTCAACTCTCCWCGGGCCCATCAGATGGAGATGGAGAGTATTGCTGGACCACATTTGTCTGAAAGTACTTGGAGATTACTGAGCTGAAGACATTAAGATGAACCACACAAACAGCATTACTCACCTGCTAGGGAGCTTGATAACAGCAAGTGGGAGAGGAAAGTGCAAACAGACTCCATTTGCTCACAGTCTCCAGGTCTAAATTGATGCTAAAAATTGCCGTGTGTTTATGGAATCAACACTGAACGTGTCAGCAAAAATACTGTTGAGTGTCTATGCATTAYATGCAGGACACAACGTTATGGATCTAATAGAGGAGGGTTCACAGGGTGAGGACCTCCAATGTTAGCAAGAGCAGGCATGTATAGATCAAAGTRTTTAATTGTCTTTTTTGTGAATGTCCAGGGGTCGGATTTATAAAACTGGCGTACGCACAATATGAGCCCAGAAACTTGCGCAC